AAAATGTCCTCTGAACATGTCTGCGTCTGTGTAGCATGGCTTCGCGTTCAGAGGTGTGTCACTCACATCAGCAGCCTTTTTGTCAGCAACCTCTAGCTTCTCCTGGGCGTCCTTCAGGGCTTCTGAATATTTATCCAGCTCATCTTCCGTCCCCTTCAGCTTCTTTTGCATCTGCAGAAGTTCGTCTTCATGCTGGTGGAGTAAAAGACAGCAAAGGATCAGAAGCACTGCAACCATGTACAAAATTATATCTACAAACATTTTAAACTAAAAGTACATTTATTGATTTCTGTTTAAAAATCCCTATGGCCCTTGTAAGGGAACAAACCTGATTCCACCCAATGGCCACTTGAAGGAAGGGTATTAAATATAATACACTTATATTTAATATATATTTACAATTAATCTGCATTAGATTTTTTTTAAGTAAACATTTTTTGTTCTTATCTTAATTGTCACTAAACCAGTTCCAACCGGATTTATTTCTACTTAACCATAAGTTTTAGCCTCCATTGGAGCCATTTTGTTGTCTGTGAGTCGTGATTAGGTTTGTTACTATCAAAAAAAATAAGATATTTTTTTCCCAGTACGAAGATAAAAGCAGACATAAATCTACATTTCTGAAGACAGATTGGTCATCTTCTGAAACTGTAGGCAGACCAACTCCAGGTGAAAATTTCAGGTCTGTCAGAAAATTTAAAAAGACAGATCCAAAAATGTTGTGGTTACTGACTGTTCCTGATGGGCCCAAAGAAGCAGTGCTGTTTTTGGTTCAGTAGTTTAGGACTAAGGTGTGAACTGGTACTCGTTATGTTTAGGGCAGCTGTCATTCCTAGGCTGTAGGAATGAAGGAAAAATGAATGGAAGTCAATACAAAGTGCCTGTGAAGATTGAAAGACTGGGTGTGTGTGCGTGTGTGTTTGTGTGCGTGTGTGTGTTTGTGTGTGTGTGTGTTTGTGTGCGCGTGTGTGTTTGTGTGCGTGTGTGTGTTTGTGTGTGTGTGTGTTTGTGTGCGCGTGTGTGTTTGTGTGCGTGTGTGTTTGTGTGTGTGTGTGTTTGTGTGCGCGTGTGTTTGTGTGCATGTGTGTTTGTGTGCGCGTGTGTGTTTGTGTGTGTTTGTGTGTGTGTGTGTGTGTTTGTGTGCGCGTGTGTGTTTGTGTGTGTGTTTGTGTGCGCGTGTGTGTTTGTGTGTGTGTGTGTTTGTGTGCGCGTGTGTGTTTGTGTGCGTGTGTTTGTGCGCGTGTGTGTTTGTGCGCGTGTGTGTTTGTGTGCGTGTGTGTGTTTGTGTGCGCGTGTGTGTTTGTGTGCGCGTGTGTGTTTGTGTGTGTTTGTGTGCATGTGTGTTTGTGTGCGCGTGTGTGTGTTCCATGACAGACCTGTTTGCTCCTTTCCTCGGCTCCTTTCTTGTCTGCCTCAGCTTGCTCAGCCCGGTCCAATGCGTTCTCCTTGTCCAGCTTCAGCATAAGCATCTTTTTTTTGATGGCTTCCATGTTTTCTGTTGGGGGATGTTTGCAGACTGAAAAAGACCAAAGATAAAGACAGATTTCTGCAGGGTGTGGACCTGGTGGTCTGGCAAACTGGAGGATAAACCAAACGCTAAGATAATAGCAGCTCATTTATATGACAGACACTGAGACCCTCCCATTGCAAAGCCCCTCCACCTTCTCATTGGCCTATAACAAGAGACAACAGTTGGAAGTCTATAGTTGTCTCTCTGTGTGACGGGATCAGTGAGAAGCAGTTCATTAAGTTTGGATGTAAACCATGTATGGCTAAAATTAGGCTGAAAACACAGAAAAAAATTAGGTTAGAATGTTCATGTTCAAAATCCAATTCATTTACCATTTACATGGCCTCTGAACAGAACCCACACATGAAACATATTCCCACATTACAACCAAAATTCTATTTTATTGCGATTTTATATAATGATACAACAACATATTACTGTGAGGTCCAAGAAAAATGGTGCATAGTTTTATTGTCTTCTGAATAAACCCCTAATAAGCATAGCAGAAAGTAGTTTTCACTTAGGTGGATGGCAGGTCCATCATCTTTCCATTTTCAGCCCTCTCAGCTTGCAGAATATTTTAGAACCTAACTCTGTACTTTGTCAATGCTTTCTCTCTGGTCTGTCTGCTGTGTTCAGACAGACCAGTGGTGCTGTTGGTTTTCCTGGTGTTCCTTATGGATTTATGCAAAGATTAGAAAGTATTCATCAAATAAAGTGTTACTACATTCAATAACACTTTCTTTGACAAGTTGTGAATAAGACTGTCGTGACAATATCATAAACATGACATAAGATCATGAACAGGTGTTTTGTCTTGACATAACATGACATAAATATTTATGACTGTTCATTTATATTTCTGTTTATGAATATTTATGACTATTGTCATAAAGTGTCTTTATGGCACTTTTAATACAAAGTTAATATTATTTGTTATGACAACTTGACATTACCCAAGAAATCGTGATCTGACATAAATTTGTTGTAAAAATATTACTGATTAAACTTTAGCTTTATGTTATTAAAGCTAAAGTTTAATCAGTAATATTTTGTAACAAATTTATCATGATTTATTGGTTAATGTCAAGTTGTCATAACTAAGACATTTTGAATAATGTCAACTTTGTATTAAAAGTTTGATTTACTGAATGACACTTTATGACAAGTCATAAATAATCATGAAGACTTACTCATGTCTTATGTCATGTTTATGACAATGTCATGACAGTTTTATTCCTAACCTATCAAATAAAGTGTTACCAAGTATTCACATTATTTCACTTATTACATATGTTTTCTATGTCATGTTCCAGTTTTATACCTCAAATCTATAAAACTAGTGATAGCAATGTGAAAAGAGTTTGTTTGACACTGACAAATTTATTAAAAATACTTAAAATAATTTTCTGGATACATAAAGGACAGTCGCGATCTGGAATCTATTTGTAACTGCGATCTGCTTTGGACTCACTTACTGATGACAATATAGAAGATCCCAATTCCAGCGTCAACCTACGCCAACTGGTCATCACGGTCTGATCGACGATCCGGATTTCATTGTATTTTGATAACTGTCCTGCAGTTTTGTTCATTTGTTGATAACAATAAATATATTACAAAAAAAAAAAAAAAAACTTAAAATGGTCTGTGACGGACTAGGATGCTGTCCAGGGTTTACGCCATCTCTCACCTGTTGACCTCTGGGGATACACACAGGGCCACATGAGGCTACACTTACAAGCTGACAGACAGTGGATGGGTGAATCATAAAAAATGGTTGCCCACTGATGCTGCGCATACAACCTGATTGACCCTGAGAGAACGCAGAGATGATCTGCAGAAATTTCCCTCAAACTGCTGCATCTCTCTAGTTTCAAGAAGATGTGAGGCGGTGACAGCTGCCAAAGGTGTTTCAGCAAAATCCATCTTTTTCATAGGAGTTGGGAAAGGAGTTTGGATAGTCAACTTGGGTGCCTTCTGAATGCAACGCAGACTCTACAAGATGAATTTAGTTCGTAGAAACAAAACCATCTTGAAATAAAAAGCTGTTATTAGCTTGTCTCCAGTAGTTTGCTTTGTTTTCCTTCTGAACACCAGAAGGTGGAGCGGTGATAACTGAACAGCAGCAGTTAACATGTCATCTGTCACCTCACTCCTTTCTGACTAAACACATGACTCCTTCAGGAATGACCCAATTTTTTCCCCTACCAACTTATGAAGATGCAATTATAATTCATATTAGAAATGCATGAAACTTAACTTCAATCTAAGGATCATTTGAAAAAGAAACTTATTTCAGATGACATTTAAAGCTAAAGGAGACAAGTTGTGAGCTACATCAAACACAATAGAAACTGAAGCTCTTCTGGTTACTGGGCCTGCCCAGTAACAGAACTCCAACACCTGACCTGTAACAACTATTACTGGATCTCTCCAAGGGATGGATTAGTAACAAGACCACCAGGGTGGATTCGTCACCCTCTCCTTGTTGGTCCAACTTGGGTTATTAATAAACAACTTTTGGCTGACATTGTCAGGGGATTAAAATTTTACAGTATGTCTGCTACAATTACCTGTCAAACAAATTTGAATGCAAGGACAAAAAGATCCAAGTCATCACATCAACCATAATTGTGTATGAAGTTTTAAACCATAATAGATCTGGATTATCTATCCATACTGAGGCAGAACAGGCGTTTAAAGTTTCACCACTGTGCCGTGAAACATAAAGAAAGGAGAAGGTCTGTGTCACACGAGATAATGCTTGGTTATCCAAATAAACTTCTTTGTTCAAACTTTAGTTCAGTGTGATGTATGCAAGTTGAATTAGACATCAGTCAAGTTAAAAAGCTTAAAGCATGCAGAGGTTTTACCTCACTTATAAACCTGCTTTACATACAGCATGTGCAGCAGGACCAGGGCTGATCATCATTTAATAGAAATCTTTAGAAAGTTTATACTTCTACAAAAATCTTTTTTCAGTCTTTTGTTGCAAACTGTCAGCGAAATTCACTCAAGTGTAGTTTTGTGATAAAACTTTTAAAGAGACCAGCTGTAAGCACTTTAAATACGGAGAGTTAAAGTGCTTACTGATGAACAGAAAAGTGCTTGAAATGCTCTGCTGTGTTCCCGTTTGTCTCCTCTAAAGGAAAGGAAAGAACCAGTGTTACTTTCCACTAACACATGGTGGGAAACTGCAGCAGCTGTCAAATAATTTTAGGACAACAGAGGTGTCATTAGTTTCTCTTAAATACCATCTCATAAGTTGACTGAGAATTCTGAAAAATAGTTTTTCTTCAGAATAAAAACTATGTGCCACCATAAGCTTTGAAAACTAAAATGTTTGTTGTTTATCAGCATAACACTGAACCATGTAAAACATTTATCATATGACCACAAAATCCCCAATATTTCTGTCATGACTAGAATTATTATAATCCTCCCCTTGCTTTTTGCTGAAACAAAGAAACAATAAATGAAACATAAGTGTGCAGGTTTCATAATTTTATTAAATATTTTAAACCCAAACGTAAAAACAAAGTGCAAACAAGATCTGGACAAGTCAAAACAAACGGGTGAAGAGGTTCATTAAAAGAAAATGTTTTTTGCTTGACTTAAATAATTGCTCTATTATTTACCCAAACAGTGTTTGATAAAGACGCCTGGCTTCAAACAAAGACAGTTATCTTTGTTTGAAGACAACTGTCTTGTTTGAAGACAACTGTCTTCAAACAAATATCGAACAAGACATTAAACTGCAAATTTGTTTCATTAAAAGCAGAATGAAAGGAGATTAAGAATGATAATCACTGTTTAAGTATTTCAAAAATATAAAAGAAATTATAAAATTACATCATAATCATGCAAAAAGGAAGGAATCCATAACATACTTCTTTAAAATAGCTTAAAACACGAAAGGAAATAGTGATGAGTTATGTTCACGTTATGAAATCAATCAATCAATCAATTAAAATTCACAGGACATCCCATAATTTAACAACAGGTCAGACAAGAGTCAAATGTGTTTAAACTATAAGTTCACTTTTTAAGCTGAAAGACTGTGAGCTCTAACAGTGAATGATTTCATAAAGTCTGGTTTAGACATAAACAGCGGGTATTTCAGAGGTGCGCGACGAGGGTCCCGTGAGAATTATGTGTCTTTGTGAGCAAATAATTATGTGTTCCGTCTGCATTTACATCTCACACATGCTGATGGTTATTACAAACTCAATAGACATGAAATGGAAAAGCTTGGCCTCTACCAGATACATTTAATCTCTTTGTTAGTTCCTCTGTATCCAGTTCAGTGGATTTAGCTCATCATTCAGGACCGGTCGAAGGTTGTACAAGGCCTTGGGCAGAATTTGACTTTCGGACCCCTCTTTCTGCTAAGAACATCAGCACAACGAACAGCATTTCAACATAGAATTATTTCATTTTGGGAGAAGAGGGTAGCTTAATTGGCTGAGCTTAAAAACAATCAGTTATAATTGTAATTTACTAAGCTGTGTTTGTGAACAAACAGCTCAAGCTCCCAGATTAAAACTTACAGCATTAGATTGTAGCTATGGTAACTTAAACCATGAAGATTGTTCAATGAACTTTTACAAAGCAAACTTTCCAGCTCCTTAAAATCTGAAATTTAAATGGTTGAACATCTTAAAACTTATCTAAGCTGAAACCATTAAAACAAATTTATCAGCATTGTCATCCTGAATAAACAAATGTTGTATTATTTTTTTTTTTGCTTTGTTGTTTGTAAGAGTTAAGCATTGTAGAACATGTCTTCCAGAACTATAAGTTCTTATAGTAGGTGATGAGGCTGTAAATAGAATCTAAAGTTTCTGCAATGCAAAGAGAACAAAAGCAGTCTCCTTTCTTCAGACACAGTGACTGATAACAGAGAAAAAAAAAACTCCCAAACTCAACCACCGACCATCCAAACACCGAATCATAGACAATGGAGATAATGATCTAGCCAAACAAAAATCAGAAATTCAGAAACATGACTACAGTAGTATATTAATCATAATTGAAAAATTGAATGCAAACATGCTTATCATTGGGCCAATCCCAAAAACTGGACCTGGAACTGAGATATACAGCAGATTCAAGGATAACTTATCAAAGCCATTTATTAACAGTTCTTTTGAACCATAATAAATTAAACATTGCACTCATCAAAATGTTATGATCGTTACTGGTTTTCTCAATTGTACACTATATAGTGTTAGCTGAGATGTGCTGTACAGGTGAACTTGACTGATTATTTGTGGAGCATGTTTTAATATATTTTGGTGCAAAGCAGTTCAGAGATTTATAAACCAACAACAGTATTTTAAAGTCTGTGCTTCAGGGAGCCAGTAGAACTGGGTGATGTCTTCTATTTTCCTATTTATAAAGGCTTGCAAAGAACAACTATCATTAGTAAAGTTAATTTTAGTAACTGCTTATAACTTTTCATTTATGTAAGCTAGAAACAGTTTTTTATATTACAATTAAACTTTCTCTTCACTTACAAATATTTATTTGTCATTAATTATACTTTTACACTTTTGTGATTGAATACAGCAAGTTTTGAACATTTACAAAATCAAAACCTCTAGCCTGAGTGAGAGCCATTACTCAGCTGGATTGCCAATTGGTCGGGTTATTCCTCTGATGGTGGTGGTGTTCCCCCCACAGTCCACGTATTGATACATCTCCTCAGAAATCTGCTCCGAGTGGCCAAAGTATGTTGCTGTGATGGTCACACTGCGCCAGGTGGAGAGGAATGTGGTAAAGCCAAACACACACTACAAACAGAGACCACAGACACACACTGGCCACTTTATGAAGCAAACTTGCTCAAAACTCTGCTGACACACAGGAGCCAATCACAGGACAGCATCACAATGCAACTAGAGAGGTTGAATGTGTTACTGTTGCCAGATGTGAGTATTTCAAAAACTGCTGGGAAGTTTTCTACACACAAGTACAGGTTTACAGAGAATACTCAAAGCAAATAATTGTTTAAAGAAATGCCTTGTTGGTGTGAGAGGTCAGAGAAACACAGACAGACTGCTCCTAGATGATGGAAAGGGAACAGCAGCTGAAACAACTTTGATTCTATGCTATGAAGATTTATTATAGTTCTGAAAGGAAAGAGGTTCCAACCCAAGACAAGAAATGCCTAATAAAGTGGCCAGCGCATGTCAATTCGGAATTATATGTGAACAAGCGACAAGGTCAACTTACTGAGTCGTGACAACAATGTTGTGTACCTTGATGGTTTCCAAGGTGCAGTATTCACTAGAAAACATTAAATATGTTTGAAAATGGATCCCAGGCAAAGCAGTTTAATCAGAAACATTTCAATGTTTCTGATTCTTATGGTTCAATATGGTCCCATTAAACCAAAGATGACTGACTATATGTTGTGGTAAACAACAGTTCAAGGCAGGAATTAACTAATAACTCTTTCAGGAGATACTAAAATGATAAATTTCTCTACATCACAGTGAGCTGCCAAAGAGAGCAGCTATTCAAGAAGTTCAGAGACTCTCCTGCAGTCACCTGTGGACAAAATTTAAGCCACTTCCTAAAAACTAACTAAAGAAACACAAAATCCTAATACTGACAATATTGCTCCACCATATCTCTGGAGGTTAATTTCTGTGACATACCATGGAAAAAAAATCTGCACTTACTACATGTAGCTTAACTCATCTCCAATGACAGTAGGGACCATATAATCAATCTGAAAACACAAACAGAGGCAGGTCGTTCAAATGGGTCTATGTAAGAAGTGAATGTGCAGACAGAGGAGGAAGACGTACCCGTTTCATGTCCAGAGGACTTATAGTGATGACATTACTGATGCGAGAGTTACCAATCACCGTCCTGGCAAACTGCACCTGTGCTGTAATATTGGCCACTTCCACTGAATAATAGTTATTGTTGGTGATGTTCAGAGTGTTCTGTGAGGATGACCAGCAGGAGGAAAGATGCATCAGTGCTAGTTTTAGTTTACTGCTCTTACTTAAAGGGCCAGTATTATGTTCCAGGCACATCGTGTCATTTTATAGCACAATCGAGTAACTATTGTTATCTTCAGTTGTTACAAGAATGCTATATACATACATACATCAAACATGACAAAAAAAATTTGACTTCACTATTGAAATTGGGCCTCTGTCTCTTTAAGAAGCTCATGCTATAAAACTCCACCATTAGGAAGTCATCACAGCAGCATTTCTCTATCAAGCTTTTAACACTGTTCTGAAGAGCGTTTCACTGAGAAGTAGGTTCTATAACGAGCTCCTATCTCAAGTACTCAACCTAATTTCCCGTACATTCTGGTCATTTAGAAGTTAAAAAACTATATTGTTTGCTTTAATTAGCAGGAAATCAGCAGCTAAAAGGCTCTTGTAAGGTTTTTAATTTTTTTCTCTCCTTACATTTGTCACTTGATTTCTCATCAGCACATTTTTAAGTCTACAAGGACAAAAATAATAATCTAAAATACAAAGTTAGAAAAGCAACACTAATATAGATCAAAGAGATATGAAGAATTTGAAAATAAAAGTGGAAGCTTGTGAAAATAGTCTGTACTTGCCAAATAAATTACTGTCAGTCTTTGTATTGTATTAAAACAGTGTTCAAAGTTTGAACAGGGCATTTCTTAAAGGTCCAGAAAACTTTACTTGAAGAGAACAAGTTGGCTATTCAGGATAAAGTCAACGACTTTAGATCATTAGAGAATTTTGATCAGAAGATAAATCTTATGCAGGCCTGTCATTAAGCAATAAATCAATTAATTGCATGATAAATTAAAACAAAGTCAATAATTTTCATTAGCACAATTTATTGTTTTTCTCTTTTCTCTCTTTCTACCAAAAACTGGATTACAACAGTCTTCAGTCTGGTGCTTTGGTCTCAGGTAGGTCTTTTCTGAACAAAAGATTTCATAATTCATTTGTTGTTTCTGTTTGGTTTATTTTGGACATTTAAATATCCAAATGTTCATTAGAAAGTTTATTGATCTTTGAGAATGTGTCATTGCATTGTTATGCCATTACTTGAAGATGGTTTCAAAACAAAAAAAATTGTTGTTTATCTCAGTGACTGACAATTACCATTTATATCCAGAACAATTTGTTATGGTGGAAGGCTTAGTGTTTATCAGGCGTACAAAGCCATTTTAGAGCACAATCAAATAACTATATTAAGCTGTAAAAATTCTCCACATGTCAAACATAACTCTTGACTTCACAATTTGATAACTTGAAATTGGCCTCTGTCTCTTTAAGTAGCTTCCACTCATTACAACAATGTTTGTCCATGATGCTTTTAGGAGCATTGGGCTGAGAATCAAAATCAAGTCAAATTTTATTTGTATAGCATATTTCAGCAGCAAGGCATTTCAAAGTGCTTTACATCATAAACACCATCATGGAATAAACAATACATTGTTACATATTACATTTCAAATACAATTCTAAACAGGTGTGTTTTTAGTTGAGATTTAAAGGAAGTCAGGATTTCCGCTATTTTACAGTTTTCTGGAAGTTTGTTCCAAATTTTTGGTGCATAGATGATGAAAGCTGCTTCTCTTCTCTTGGTTCTGGGGATGCAAAGCAGACTAGAACCAGAACCTGAGAGGTCTGGAAGGTTGTTCATATGATGAGCTCATCAGACTCAGTTCTACCAGATGTTGGTAAAATTCTCTCATTCTGGCATTTCTTAAATGCCATTAGGAATTTAGGAAATGCCTAAATTGCCTAAACTTGAGCCTTCCTGCAAATGTGCCACAACTAACTGGATCAGTAAGTATAAAAATGTTTGAATATCAAATAACAGCAGCAGGAGGATTCTGCTGCTGTTACAATTAGAAGTTTATTCTGATTTGTGGCTGATGACAGATCTGTTCCCCTGTTTGTGCTTTCCCAGCTAAAGCAGTAGTGAACTGGTATAAGAGCATCTTTGTATGTCTTAGGCATGATTAAGTAAACTAAAGCAAAGTAGCCCACTACTGCTACTATAAAAGAATAGGAAGGGGAGAGGAGCACACCAAACTCACTGTGATGTTGAGATAGACGATGTGCTGATCCAGGTCATAGCTGACATAAACAGACTTGACTCCCACATTAGATACATCAATGGAACGAGGGAAGAGGAAGAAAACAGCCAGACTGGACAGCAGCAGGCAGAGCACCACTGATGTGCTCACATACAACTTCCTGATAAGGATCAAGAAAATTATTTTAAAAAGTCAGACAATTTACATCAGCACTACTAACAACATTTCAATACATATTTGGTGGAATCTGACCAAGCTTAAAAACAATCACTCCTAATTAGTCATTTGCTGGGACTCATAGAATCAGATTGTAGTGATGGTAACATAATTTTTTAAAAAGTAAACATGCCAACTCTCTTAAGCCTCAACTTTAAGACTTCAAGTTTATCTATGCTGAAACTGACTTTTATTAGGACCATTTGTGCATCACAATGTCACTAGGTTCACTCAAACCTAATAACATTGTCATTCTCCATAAACAAAACTCTAGATTGATGGTCTGTGTCAAAATATTAACATTAATGAAGTCCAAGAAAGTTTGAGGGTTTCTAATCTGCTGTTTAGTTCACTTATGCCTCAGGCATCTCTGAATGTGACTAGTATTACATAGACTGTTTAACACCAAGCACATAGCTGATCGACTAGTACAAAAAATTGATATAATTTGTATATTTTTTGAGTTGACTTCTTTTAAGACTATATTTGTGTGTTAAAGTATTTTCAATAATGCCCTACAGCAGGGGTGTCAAACTCAAATACACAGTGGGCCAAAACTTTAAATTGAACAAAGTCGCGGGCCAAGGTTGAACAAATGAATCTTTTAATATGGACCCAAACAAGTTCTAATATAACAATAAATATTGAACAAGCAAAGCTTATCTAACTTAAAAGTGCAGGTGTGCAAAACTGAGTTGCTAATAATAATAAAACATATTAAATAAAAGATATTTAATATATGAAATAAAATATTAAATATATTAAATAAAATTTAAATAAACATTTAATGCCTCCTTTCTGACGTAAATGTCTAATATTAATTTGAAATTGCCTCGCGGGCCAAATATAATTACACTGCGGGCCAAATTTGGCCCACGGGCCAGAGTTTGACACCTATGCCCTACAGTAACATATAATTACCTATTAATAAAAACAGGGCAGGTTTCTGGTGGAATGATATCAAAGAACTGAACTAGTTTTCTGAGGGAAGCCCTGTGATCCATACAGCTGCAGTTCCTCAATGACATCTATACACCTTTGGTTCAAACCTTTTAGACAAATGTTGCTTTTTCTCTTCTTGGTGAGGTGAGGGGCTTTAATTGGGGTAAAACAAAAACAATGATCCGATTGCAAACCTCCTGTATATCTCTGCAAGCAAAATGATATTCAACTATCAGCTGAACTGCATGAATCAAGAATTGGATTACCTCAATAACCCTAATCTTCTGTAAAAGTTATTGTAAAAACTGATATTATGAAAGGTTTCAACTTAAAAGTTAACTTTTCTGCAAGACTCAAGTCAATTTTTTTCATGCCTTCAAACATGAAAGAGTTTGTCAGAATGAAAGGTCGCAGTATGAAAAATTTCTGAAACTTACAGTGCACAAAAAGGCAGCTGTAAAAATAGTGTGCAAAGCTGTACTCATTGTATTGATAAATCTAGATTTAGAATGATCAGGGAAACGGTTTTAGTTTTCTGTACTACTACTAATAATGACACATTTTATTTAAATGACATCTTAAGGGCACAATGGAAAAAAATGGAAGCAAAAAGAAGAAGTAAGACAGAAATACAAAAGAAAACAGAAAAGTTAGAGAGCAAAATCAACAAAGTGAAAGTGGCCTTTTAACAGTTTTTAGGCAGGGTTTAAAAAGAGACAGCTTGGAGTGAGTGGGGAAATCAACATGCTGTTAAAGTTGGTACTGCGGTCTGACAGAATCATGTTGTTTAGGCCAATGTTCCTTTCATTAGGACCATTTGTGCATCACATAAGTTGCACATTTAAGAATGGAGATACTTTCTATTCATAAAGGTCATTCATTTACAGACACACCCTGTATAACTGCAGCTGATCAAGTCAGGAAATTAGCTCCAAGCATCAGTTTGGAATTTAGGCCCCGTCCAAATGGAGACGAGATTAAGTGTATCTGCAAATGTATTTTGTTTTGTCTGTGTCTACATGGATCTGGTGTTTTGGGAGACCAGAAACCATCAATTTTGGAAGACAGGTATCAGAATAGAAAAATGTCAACATGTGGTTTCAGGTTTGACTGCCCCAGATGTGTCTTCAAAAAAGATCTAAGAATACTTACGTCCTTCTTGGCCGCAGTCTTTGGTCACTGTATGGAATCAATGCAACAAGTTGATTCTCCTGTTCTGGAAAACAGGAAGCAAACAGTGATGCTGGACTTGTCCTTGCCGTTGGCTTTAAGTTAGCTCCAATCACAACTTGATTTGCTTCAACTTCTTGCTTACTTCAATATGAACTTATGTAGTCAAACACTTTAAAAGCTTCATTACCTTTTCAAGAACAGCTTATATATTGGGTGCAATATATGAAGTACATGGTCACCTCTGGGGATCCTCCCGGTGCCCTGACATGTTGGACACGTCACGCTGTCTCTTCCAGTGAATTCCACATAAGGAAACTGGGAGACATCAGGCACTTTGCCATTCTCCATCGTTCCATCTTCCACAGGAGAAGACAAGTTGTCCTCTTCATCAATGAGGGTTGTTTCCTTAGAGATGCAGGAAACTGAAATCCCCATAGTCACAACTGGGGAGAAAAAAAAATCTACAAGGAATCTGTATATTAGAAGTACATCTGTAATTAGAAGGTGAGTCTGTGGAGTGTGACAATTTCTAACTGAGGAGCAAATGAATGAATATGGACTTGGTGACCTGTCTAGGGTGACCCTGCCCGCTGGAGATAGGCACCAGCACCCCTCAGAATCCCACTAAGGATAATGATATTAGAAAATGGATGGATATCCTGTTCAATTGCAATGTCTTCCCCTGAGCATCAGGGTTTTAATTGTTAAGATTAGTAACAGCTGTGAGTATAAAAACGATAGTTTATCCAAATGGGCAAATACTGTACAATGCTAATGTACAAAAACAGAATTTTTTGTACCTGAATTTGCATTGTTCGAATGCAAATACTGTATTCAAACAGCTGATGTTATATGGTAGTGTATTTTGCAGAACTATGATCAGGAAAATGGGTGAATAAAACAGGTTCAGACATTGCTTTCAGCTTATAATTTTTGTGTTTTGTTGCTGATGTTCTCTGCTTCTAACCTTAGATAAAACAGTTAGTTTTAGTTTACCAGCTCTAGTTAACTACTAACTAGTGGTAATCTGTGGTAGGCTAATAAAATAGTTGTTTAAACCATCCAAACATCTATCATTTATATAAGGTGTTAACCCAACCAACACTGAAAAAACAAAAAACAAACAAAAACAGATCTGTTGTTGAGTTTTAACAGCCTGACTCATGAGTTTTATTTTTCTTAGATGGCTCTGAGCTGCAGAGTCATAGTCTGCACTGGTCGTAGTCTGTTCTGAATGCTGCCAGCCAGCAGACTCTCACCTCAACTTTCTGCCTCATCTGGAGTTCGGACAGAATGACTAGACTTCATATCCACTTAAAGTAACAAACACTTGAAACAATTGAATATTTGTGTTTCGACTACTGAATGGCTCATACAAAACCCTCAACTATTTTTCCCGACCGACTTGGATTGGTTCGAGAATCGTGAAAAAGAGTGAGCAAAGAGTGACTTAAGAATAAAAATTATTGGCTTACATTTTAAACATTAAAAAACCCGATGGGGTTTTTTTAATGTTGGGGCTAGCAGCCCCAAGCTGCTAGCCCCAGAGGTGCTTAACTGTGAACAGGCAGCTTCACATAAACTTCAACTAACAAAATAAGCTGCTAGCCCCAAGCCGCTAGCCCCAAGCTGCTAGCCCCAAGCCGCTAGCCCCAAGCCGCTAGCCCCAAGCTGCTAGCCCCAAGCTGCTAGCCCCAAGCTGCTAGGCCCAAGCCGCTAGCCCCAAGCTGCTAGCCCCAAGCTGCTAGGCCCAAGCCGCAGAGCACATAGGTGCTGAGAACATTAATGAACATTAATCTAGCTTTACCGACAAGTTCACCGATAACAAATGACTCACTGCAGTCGCGCCCAGGAGTATTTGAAAGGACAAACTTACCTGAACAGAGCAACTCGTAACACCATAACCTCTTACTATAGCAGACATAAGACACCATAACTTTTGGAGTCTTGTGCGACACTCCAAAAGTTTCAAGATAATAGCTTTTGTTTACTTCTTCCCCAAGGATGAGGTGGGATGAACCATTGCTGCCCCCTTCAGTACACGCAGAAACGTTGCAATCAGATCTTTACATATTTCTATTTATGAATATTTATGAAAATATTGTATCTCAGTAACTCATCTCACATGTTAAACACATCATACAAATGAAGTCCCCACAAAGTGTTTTAATAATTTTATTTGTTAATGATTCTTTAGTTTTTAAAGAATAATCAGCCATAAGAAACAATTATACATAATAAACTAAAATCATCATTAGGATAATCAAATAACTGACTAAAGTAAAACTGAAACAAGGCTAATCTAATCAAAGAAAGAGACAATATATTAATGAAACTAGAATCAATAAATCAAACTCCAAAACAACTAAAAAACCCAGGCCCTGACAGAACCAAAGCAATTATGCAACCAAACCTTAAAACAAGAGTTTACACTGCCTTCTTTTTCATTCTGTTTCAATGTGTTTCTCAGTCCACCAATCTCTGAATGTGTGTCTAAGATCTCAGCTGCAGCACTTGTGTTCCCTTCTCTTTAATTTTAAAAGGAGAGACACTTCCGGAACCCTTCCTTTAACTGCTTACTCTCTCAGGGTTTAAGGTAGACATTCAATAAGATAGAATAAAAACAACACATTTAGATTTTAGTCCATTGAATATGCACATGTATACAGATGTCCATCCATTTTCTGACACCCTTCTCCCTTTTGGAGTCATGAAGGTACTGGTGTCCATCTTCAGTAGTTAACTGGCAGGCATTTGAAGAAAAAGTTTCTTCAAATGCCTGCAAAACTATGAATGAATTGAAGAACTCAGCAGCAAGCTCTATTGGGTAAAACATAATTTTTGTTCAATCTGCCTATGGGCAGATTGATGAAAGCCTTGAGTAAAAGTCTTGGTCAGAGAGTAAAATGTGTGCATATGTTTTCCATCTGAAACAAGCAAAAGCTTGATTTTGAATGGCCTTTTTGAGTTTTTTCTTTCCTGATCAGAGCTCTCACTGTCTTCTTTTCAATTCTCTTGTACACTCCAGCATTCAATGTTCTCTGTGTCTCACCCATTGTCACATGACTGTACTATCACCACAGTCCTTTTTATCCTCAAATTTGCCAACAATTAGCTTTTTTTTCTTATTGAGTGAAAATAGAACCAGTGTTGCAGGGCATTGTTCCTTTTCAGGATTAAAAAATTTGCAACCTATTCATTTTTAAGCAGCAGAGAGACATCAAAATATGATAATCGAAGTCACATAGACTGATATTAATAAAACATCATTACTGCTTTAGCTATGTTTCAAGCATTGTGCTTGTCAGAGAATGTAACACAGGAGGGGAGCACAATGACTCATCGGATGAATGATGTGTAATGATACATTACATTTGTATCATTACATAACTGTGAATGTACAGTGAGGAAAATAAATCTGTAAAACACCACAAAGTTTTTAATCTTCTCCACTTACAAAGAATATTGTCTGTACTTTTCATCAAAGGTACAGTACACCTCAACTGTGATAGACATGATCTAAAACAAAATATAGAAGAGTTGTTGCAATTTCTATATTTTTGGCATGCAGTCAAAGTTTGAGGCCTGGCCCCGCCTCTTTAACATCTCAAAAAGTCAGGATTTTGAGAAGTTTAGATCTCTCATGTTTTATTAGTGAACTCATCAAATTTCAAGCTGATGATCAATCTGCTTGGAGGAGTTTGATCAAATGTAGAGGCTATAAATCGCCAAACAGGGGTCAAAAACATAAATTCAACCCAAGATGTCCAATTTCCTGTTTGTTGAGCATGGGTGCAAATATTTTTGTGTAGTTTTTGGAAAGTTTTACAAGTGTACCACATTTGTTTGCTGGGCTTTCGCTGCTGAGGCTAATGAAACATGTAGATACACATTGATGTAAGCTACACAAAACAAATATTATAAAGAATAGTCTTGGTTTCTATACTCCTGGTGAGCGTAATCTGAACTGAACTTATTACATTTTGTAGGTACAATGTTCACTCATCTGTGCTAGCAGTGTGGATACAGTTAGCTCAGTGTGAATCAGCTGCCCCCTTATTAAAAGATAACTTTTTCATCTACCTGCTTGGTGTCACTGTTAAAAATAGATCCTCTTTTCAGTTCTGTGTGTTTCTGTTACTTTCCCCACCGAATTATTGCATTTTGTTCCCATGACATGTTGTACAGTATTTCATTCCTGTTGCTGGGTGAATTAACAGGACTTCTATAATCATAGTGAAAAATTTTGTTTCACACTTTTACACTTTAAATAGGGAAGACTGTTGACCCGATTTTGACTTAGGCATCTTTCACTGCACATACTCAGTGAGTCTCTGGTGTGATACAATGTCAGCCTTGAACTACTTCCTCTGGATGACCTGGATTCTTACTGTAAAGTCCAGTGGGTACAACATGAAATCCTTCAGATTGCAATGACCCATATTTAACGAGAGCAGTTCGTTTATAGGTTCTGTATTTCCTGTCCTGCTAATTATTTCAATTGTAAACAAGGCAAAAAGACGAAAAAAAGGTTTGTAGTAAATTCAGGGATGCTTCCAAATATACTGCTTTAATTGAACAGTTTCATGAAGTGTAATCACATGTCCACATACAACTTGTGTTAATGATCTTGACATTAAATGGATTGGATTGGATTTAATCCTGAGCCCATTGCTATGCATATTCTTTCCAGCATCTTTGAGCTCTGGTAGTGAGTCAGATGATACATAGTTTACCAACAATTCTTATTTTGATTTTGGAATGCAATGTTTGTAGATACAAAACATTTTTAACACAACAAAATGATGGATAAAAAGGGCATGTGTTATATTTTTCTGAGAGACTTCACCAGACCGACAGTTGTCAAGCCCAGGGGTAGCAACCATGAAAACTACATATTGCGCGTTTTGGCAAATCTGTAACCCTGTGATGTGAAATGATTCGGCATTGAACACGTGACACAAGTAAAGCAGCATGACAGGCAGTGAGAATGATTACACCAGACCTGGAAGTTCTTGTCTCTGGGAAGGAATGCCGTTGAAAGCCTCCCATTGGTAGAGCCCTGCAGATGCTGGGGGGTCGCAGGGAGTGCAGCAGGGGGTTCATGGAGTGGGGGATGGGGAAATATGGGGTAGCAGAAGCATGAGTAAAAGATGAAAACCAATCTGTGTGTTCCCTCAGAACCCCATTTTAGCTTTTGTTCTGTAGAGTTAAATTAGTGCAAATGGTTTTATGTTCTTTTCTGTGGTCTCCACAGATCCAGTTCCCTCCGTCTTCCACAGAACAGCACAATGGAGTTTCAGCTCAGGTTGTTGCAGGTGTTTTGTTAATACTTCCATAGCCTGGGGAAAAATTATGCAGTGGTTTTCTCTATTTCAGTCAGAAGAATATTATGAGCAAACTATCTGAGAAAGCAAACATACCTTGACACAGACATACTGTATCATTCTGAAATATTGATGTCTTTAAAAGTGTTGACCACGAGGCATAAATTAGCACTCCTCACTTTACATAAATGTCTTTAAAAATTCTGAAATTTAAAAAAACTAATTCTGTTAATTTCTGATATCTAATATCTTTGCTACACTTGATACAATTAAATAATGCCCAGGCAATTTTCAACTGGAGCTGTAGCACCTGATGGAAAAAAAAAAAAAGAAAAAAAGAAATGATTTGGGAGCAGATGACTGGCTGAGAAATGGCCTACAGTTTCATCTGATCAAGCAGAATTCAAAGGAGGCTCTTTACCTTAGAAATAAAGGATTTTGAATGTTTTTTTTAATAAGGTGACTTCTGAGTTAGTCATCTTTATACAAATTTTATTCCAACACCGTTTTTGTAATGTTCAATCAAAACATCATTATTGAGATTGTATGAAACTATCATTGCAACATTGTTACTGTTGTTCTTTCCTTTTGAGAACCATGTAAACAGCAAAAATAATAATTAAATAATCTCATTTAGGAGAACAAAAAGAAGATGTGTCTGAAATTTGAAGACCCTAAAAAAGCTAATTTAATACCAAACTGTAAAAATTCACAGGTTTTTCAGAGGATTTGCAAAATGAAAGAAAATAACTTTGATGATGACAGTGCTTGAAGTGTAGGTCAGATTCTGTAAAAGTCTTTTCAAGGCTGCAGCTCTGATCTGATAACTTGAACAGTCATATATTGGACCACCCAACTTCCAATATTGACAGAATGTTTAGACATATTTCAGTAAACTGACAATCAAGGGCATGACCCTCACTTGACCTTAACATACTCTACGAAATCTATTACATAAGCAAGTTATGGATATGCATTTCAGAATTTAACATAGTGATTAAATGCATGTTTCAACAAATATTTAAAGGTAAACTAGAAGTACATAATTAATACCAGGTAACCACACCAAGCAGGAAGTTGACTGTCTTGGATTGAAGTTCCAATTTTGACCCAATTCGGGTTCTGCATTTGATTGAAGTTCTACTTCAGATTTTGATCAATCAGTTTCAACATTGGCTGGTTTGCTCATAAGGCATCACTGAAGAAACTTCATCAAAATGGTGAGTTTTCAGAATTAAATTTAATAAAAACAAATTTCAATGTCTCAGGAAATTTAAATCATACATAAAATCAGTAAAAAAAACAAAAAACATTTTAAATATAAATTTCAGGCTTCTGAAAAGTATGTTCATTTGGTGGCATAAACTGGACGAAACTTTATCGAATTATATGCACCAAATACCAGATCCAGACAGCAGAACTGCTGCATTGGTATAATTCCTTTGGAAAGTCACTCATTTTCTTGAATGGATTTTGCCACATAGGGTTGTGGTTATCTTTGTTTCATCCTTTCTTATCACACCTTATTATTAGTTAATGATATTAGTGATCATTTACCTGTTTTTGTGGTTTGTGAAAAAAAACACATGAAAGATAAGAGTAATCCAATTTCTAGAAGACTAAGGACTGAAGAATCCATAAAAGCATTTAATGATGAATTCTCTAAACAAAACTGGGAGTCGGT